CGATGCGGATTTGAATCCTATGCGGGGCGGGGTGGGTTGAAATTGTGCAGTTTTAGACAGAACCCGCCCCGCACCGCTCCACGTGCCATTCCTAACCATTGCCAATATAGCAGTCTGTGTAAATAGCTTTCAATATATATCAGGAGAACTACATGGTATAGTTTTTGATATCAAGCTCATCTTAGAAGGCTCCAGACCGAAGCTTTAAAAATTTTACAACCTTCTTTTTTCATCAGAGGACTGTGGACAGAATGCAAAAGAGTTAATCAACACAGGTATGTTTCCTACTGTTGTCAATACTTAATCTTCCATAGTATAGAGGAACGCTTATCATCTGTGGCTTCTTGTAATACTGATAATGTACTTTCTTGCTTACCAAGCGCCATGAGCTTAGAATCTAATACACGTAACAATTCCTTATATCTTGATTGTTTCCTCTTCAAAACGCGAATATAAGCAGTTAATCCAAGCCATTCGATTTCACCTTTCCCCACTTCGAGAATTGGACGAAAATCTGAACCAGTTTTGAAGGAGAACATCCTCCTCTTGATGAGCTTTGTCATATACCTAGTGAGAAAAATGAAGTAAAAGAAAAGCAGCATGATGTCAACAGTAACAGGAGTACAATAAGATTAAGAATGTAAATACTGATGCACTCTCCCTTGCCCCTAATCCCTTTCATTTAGAGCTCTAGCAGAGCTAAGATTTAAAATAATTGAAGTGCCTGTGTTCCAATGTAGATCCAGTGTATAAAGAGCACCAAATCGCACCAATGATGATGTACTAAATATTTCAAACCTCAATGATTTTCCCAAAGCAGCTGCATAAAATTTGGTGCTGAATCTACATATGCTTGATAAATCAGAGATGTAGCAATGGAACTTCATGGCACACAAAAGAAAAGCTTGATAAATGTTGAGTCTGACCACAGCTGCTGAGTTTATGTTAGAATCATAGAATATAGGATGGCATTTCGGTCTCAGATAACCGCACAGCTTAACCTTTAAGTCACGGCCTGGTTTATTTAGCCAGCCCACAGTGAGTGTTGAACTCAGCGGGAAATTCAAATACCTGTGAAAAAGGATCACATCAATAGATATCTACTGATTAAATCAAGTACCTTGAGCATTGAGAAAGTCAGTTAGAAAGAAGAGTACAAACAATCATGCAGAGGGAAACATTGCTAATTGCCAAACTTCCTAAACATTAAGTTAACAAGTTTTAACGAGTACTTGATAGCCAAATAAGGTCAGTTTAATACCGAGTATGCTAAATAAAATGATGGTTGCGACAACCATTTCGATCGACTAGGCATGGTAGTAACTCCCCTTTATCATGATATAAACGTTAGGAAGCACCAGAACAAACAAAATAACAGCTCATATGAAATCCTCAAGTGATGCCATGTTGCCACTAGGAAGATAGCTGACCTCGTGTAATCTGCCTGAATTTCCAACGTTGAGCAGTTGATAAAAAGTCCACTCCACCGAAGAAATGAGGTTCCATCTTCAACCACATACAATCTATCTGATCTCAGATCTGGTATAGTGTTTATCTGAAAGTTCATTCCAAATTTCTTTTTGTTCATGTCGCAGTTGTAGGCTCGAAACCCTCTCTGCAACCGTGAGAAGAACCTAGAAGCCTGTTCCTTTGAGGTTGAGATGAAAAGCAAGTCATCAATAAATCTAAGTAACAGATAGCTAGGTTTACACATTACGAGGTGAGCATATCCTGAAGCTGTATCATCGAGAAAACATTCCTCCGAAGGAAATCCAGGGGCAGGTTCACAAGCTTTGTCAAGGAATGGAAATATTACTGACTTCTCGAGATGTCCTAAATACAAAGAGCAGAGCATAGAGGACAAAACACTCCCTTGAGGTATACCAACAGATTGCAAGAAAAAATTGCTACCTAACCGCAGCACATTGCGCCTTATGTGCTCCTTCATATCATTTTGAAGCTGTTCTTTTCTTACTTTTCTGCCTTGCACCTGGAAGATTAAGTAATTTAGATTTTGTTATAGCCACTTCTTGTAAGTAAGGTTCTTAAAGCATAAATACCAGGTCATGCTTAACTGAATGATATAAGTTATTTGTCAAACTGCTATTTTCTGATTTGTTCTTGGTTGATGGGGCCTTAAACAAACTGAAAGATCAGAAAGAATGATCTTTTTCCTAGAAAGAATGATTCATTTCCCTTTCTACGAGTAGAACTTTGGTTGATCTGCCTCCACCTACCCCCCACCCCCCACGTCCACCCACCCCACCCAGTTCATAGATTAATAACCTTGGATACCTATACCAATGTGCAATCTTCATGACTTATTTTAACTTCAAACCTTCATGTTGATTTTCACTGCCTTGATTGTTCTGTCATCCCATCATGTGTTTCTTCCATTTGCAGAATAGTATTTTGTAAATGCAAATTATAATATGTACAAAGTTGCCATCAACAATGGAATGTAAAAAGAATTTGTGCCTTCAAACAAATACAATCAGTGCCAAGGAATTATGAAACAGATACACATGTAAGTGAAAGACGCCAAGAGAAGACTATGAAATGTGCATGTAGATCTAATCCTAAGGCAGTACAACATTCTAGTAAAAAGTACATTTGCCTTCAAACAAATACATCAGTGCCAAGAAATTAAGAAACCACATACAAGTGAAAGGAGCCAAAAGAAGGCCATGAAATGTGCATGTAGATGTGTTTACCCTAAAGTAGTTCAAAACATCCTACCTGTTGCTTTACAAGAATGCCATGCAATGAGCCAGTGGGAAGATAAGACCTAGCATTGGCGGAGTCAGGGGCATTCTCTTTACTCACTAATGTCCAGTTTTGTGGTATCCGTAATGATTTCTTAGTGCACACAACTTGAACAACTTTGCTTAAAAAATATTCTTCCTCCAAATTGAGATCATCCAGCACACTCAGTAACTTATCTTGGTCTACAGAATCAAAAGCTTTTTCAACGTCTGATACAATGATGAAAACTCCAGGTTTGACAGAAAAACCGCTCTTCAGGAGTGATAAGAAAGGGAGAAGCCTTTTATATGCATCATTGTAGTCAAATACAGATGAACCCAACCTCTCTGGTTCATTTACTACTATATGTTTGAGCACCAAGTGCAAATCTTTGAGGACTTCATTAACAGATTTGTAATTGTAACATTTAACATTTCTACCAACACCTACTTTTCTCAGACCTTTGGATTGCAATGGAGGATTCACAGGCAACTTTGCCGATGCTTTAAGGTTAGCCAGCATTCTTACCCCCTTTCCTTTTGGACAAAGTCGAACTTTTGAGAAACCAAAAGATCTATTCCATATTATTTTCTTGACAGATGCAACATTTAATTCTTGATAACCTTGATCTCTCAAGCAAGTCACAAATTTGGAAATAATGTTCTCCCACGTAGGCTTGCGATAATAAAATATATCTTGTTTCTCATGCTCAGCTTCAGTTACGTAAAAGTTAGCTTGAACCAGTGGCACAACAATTGAAGAAAAGAACCAAAATATCCAGTGCTCTAGTAGTTTATGTTTCAGTAAGGAGTACTGATCTGATAGTAGATGATACCTAGATAGTTTAATTTTCCTCATGCTCTGCTTGAGCGTGAACTTCTCAAACCTTCGTAGCTTAACAAGCTTGGAAATATTCTTTGTTAGAACTCTCCAATTAGAAGGAGTTCCCAGTAAATTTATGGGCACTATACTTCGACAAACAGCCCAAATAAATGATACAACCTGCTTCTTCATACAATAACACTTGGTTGGCTCCAAAAGAGAGGGTTGTGATCCTGGAGTTGTGCTGCAACTTTCGGAGTCGATGTCATTGTGAGCTAATCCACTTTCAGCACAACCTTTTGCAAGTATACTTGCTTCGGTTTCGTGTCTCTGATCCCAAATAGTTAAGAACATCACTTTCAATATCCATATCTGGAAATGCTATTTATAGACAACTGAGTAGGACAACAACAACAACGACCAAGTAAAGTCCCACTAAGTGGGGTCTGGGGGAGACAACTGAGTAGGACCATCCATCAATTTTTCACTAAGGTGCAAGTGGTCATGTCAGATAAAATACCACTACCGAGTACCGAAGAGGTCATATGGAGCCACATTCTTCTGCTAGATAGCAATAATAGATTGAAATAGGCAAAAATCATGGCTCACAAATTGAAAATATCCAAAATTTCAATAATTAATTGTGGCTTAGTTGATAAATCTTAGGTGCTCAACATCTTATACTCCCTCCGTTTTAATAAATGTGAACCTATTTCCTTTTTAGTCCGTTCCAAAAAGAATGACCACTTTCCTTATTTAGAAACAATTTACCTTTACACAATGATTTATAGCCACACAAAATATATGTGCCTCATTTTACACCACAAGATCAAAAGTCTTCTCTCTTTTATTAAACTTTGTGCCTAGTCAAATGGGTTCACATAAATTGAAATGAAGGGAGTAAAAGATTAGTACTTCTTGGGTTCGAAGCCCTGGTCAACAATTTAACTTGGACAACTCTGCATTTCAAATGGTGGAGAGTACTGGCAAATAATGACTAATTTTCTTTCTTTTCAAATCTTTTTATACCTAAGAAGGACCAGAAACAAGAAGAGGGTGAACTGAAGCTTGAAGAAGTTTAACAAAGACTAACCTCCAAGATAGTTGCAATAATATTTTTGGTATCTTGATCCAATGATGGAGTGGAAGAACAGTGCTTTTCCAACAGCCTTACATGTTGGCAATGGTGAGCTTTGCGGATGAGAGTTTTCAGCAACTTAATAATTGAATGGTATCTAGGTCAATAAATGTGATAGAGAAGAGACTAAGCAAAACAGGTTTAGATGTTTACAACAAGTGTTAGAAAAGAGAATTAAGCAAAATAAATTTAAGAATTCAATCCTTCCCAAAAAAATACAATGCCGAATGAACAAAAAAATTAGTGCAAGACATGTACCATGATCAATTTTTGAAGGATAAACAACTAAGTCGTCCCCACTTTCACAGCGAAAAGAAAGTAGAGATAATAGCGCAGAGCATGGCAAATCATCCGAAAGTGAATTTGAGAGAGTCGAAACAAGAAAACCCATCCAATGGTTACTTCAGTTAAAGAATTAGCAAATTGAAGTCAATCAAAGATTTAAGGGGCCTAAAATGAACAAAATGAAGTCAACAGAATGAGAATTGTAAAGCTTCACGACGCACCCAAGGATGTGGCTTAGTGGGCAATGAAGTGGGTTGAGAACCATGAGGTCTCAAATTCAAATTCCAAAATAGACAAAAGCAGTAGGTGATATCTTCTCATATGTCCAAGCTTTGGTGGATAGAGTTACTCGATATTTGTGCAGGTGGGAGGTAGCAAGCTCCGGGACATTAGCAGCAGCAAGCTCTCAAATAACCCAATCAAATGTGAACTAATGGTGACAACGCATTGACAATACAATATTATAGACAAGAAATTTCTGACAAACTAGTCCCGGCAACCCAGCTCCAGGACACTAGCAGAAGGAAAGCTGTCAAATAACCCAATCAAATGTGAACTAATGGTGACAACGCATTGATAATACAAAATTATTGACAAGAATTTTCTGATAAACTAGTCCCAGCAACCCTCTATATATCTAAATACACTTTGAGCTCCTACAACATTACCATTTACTTGTGTACAAGTCAAACAACATTATATCAAAGATCTGGAATCTCTCAGGCGAGACCAATATACGTGCTAGACTTTCTCTTTCAAGAAACAAATTACAAAAGAGCAGCTTCTACAACTTGATTCTACCACTTTCTTGGCAAACAACCCAATGTTTGACTACTTTGTCAAGCTTCATAACAGTATATATCTTTATCTGACCAGTAATTATGTTTATGTCGGCCATCCATAATAATTCCGAATTCATGCTAATTATTCACTAGTCCCTTAAGTGCAGATACTTAATGCTCGAACACACTAAGAATATGGAAACAGGAGAAGGGGGAAAATCCTGATTTCAGAAAATTTAGACTGCCTGAGAGAAAAAGAAAGTGGAGATTTGCAATTTCAAAACATATTTTTCAGAGTATATTTGAAATGGATTATCTTCATCTTAGAGGCATGCCTTAAGTACATGAGGAACGACCAAAGTAACCACATGAGATAATCATCCTTGGGTAAGAAACTTCAAAGATGATCAACTAAGAACAAAGGAAAACTGTTGCTTACAGACAAGTGGATCTGATAAAAGTACAGTTGCTGCTGTGCGTGCAAGAAGCTATCTGAGTAGTGACATTTACACCAAGAGATCTAAAAATTTCCTTGAAGAGTCTATTTGCTCCAGAAGAGTCTGGCTTCAGCGAATTCAAGATGTCTGAGTATTCTTGAGTTTGTCAACAAAGTTTCCTCCAAAGGTGGTGATGCAGAAGCCAACAACAGTCCGTTTCTATTTTAGTTCTTCCATTTTCCTGGATTGGCTAGGAAATAAGGGAGCAGTAAACTCCTCTCTAAACCAAAAGGGAGTGAAATCTAAGTGGCAAAAGGTTGCAAAACGTTTATGAATAAAAGAGGAACTCCAGTCCTTTCTTAATATTGATATTAGCAATGAAAGTGAACCATAATGCCAAGCAAGATTAGGATGGGGACAAAGTAGAAGGATACGCTTGGATGGGAACACTGAAGGAAAACTTTCCAACTTGTAGAAGATGGTTTGCCTGTTGATTTGAACTTCCTTTTTGACCTCTGGGATTGTTTGAAAGACCAAACAACAAGAGCACCAAGTATTTTTCTGTTGACAAGAAAAACACAAACATTTTACTAATCCAAAATATGTAGATGTATGTATAGCTGAATTATTTGTGAAAACATTCACAGCACTTTCGAGCCTCTTCCTTGAGAAGTTAAAGAATTCTGAATCTACTGATAAGGAAAAGCCCAACCCAGTAGAAGTTACTTCCACTAGGAAAGTACTCTTGCATAACATCAGCACTAGTTACGATTGTTACACTTTTGAGTACCTTATTTCTTCTTCTTTTTTTCTGACAAATCAATACCTTATTTCTTTTTTTGTTCTTGTTCATTTTTCATCTTCTATTAGCATTCTTCTCCATGTTCTCACCTTTAGCCCTTAGAACAAAAAGCAGTTGTTCATTTCCTAGATGCAACATGTGTGGTAAGACTGACAATGACAGGGAAGATCCTTAAGGATTGCGCTAAGCAGACTTGTTTAGGTGTAAGCTGAATTTCAATTTTGAGGGCCTTTTGCCAGCTTTCACATTAAACAGTTTACAAAATTTGGAAACATAAGCATGCAATTTTAACCCCAATTGGTCATGGTAAGGGATACAAACCATTATATTCTTTTACAAAGTTGCTTTTTGATTTCTATTATCCTTTATGTGCTTGTTTGTTTTCAGACTGCATAAAGGAGGATAAGTCATCTCAAAAGAACCTCCCCAGATAAAGAACTCTTAAATAACATCCATCTGTGTTTAGTTAACATGGGATCCAACTCAGGAGTCTGGACAATGGCATGGTCCTCTAAATAATCCTATCATATGTTTGGTTAGTTCCGAATAAATATTCAGATAAGACAGTGAGACACAATTATCAAAATGCTCATGTATTATAAAATTGAATAAATCTAATTTTGCACAGTTCTCATTTATTTTGAGAAATTATGCAAGGTAAATTTACAAAGTAATAAAACTGTATGAGACTATGAAGTTTAGTCAGAACCAATTAACACTAGTAAGTTATTCACTAGCCTTAACAATGTTGGTCCCTTGGATAAAATGGGCTTAAGGATTACCCATTCCAGTACACACCATTTTGCATCCCAAAAATAAGTAGGATTGAATCATCCCAGTGCCTCTCATCTTGACATAAAAGTCCATTCTTTTGCTAGAAGAAACTGAAAATGCATTTAATTATTTTATGATTGAAAACCTTCACCTGCAACATTCTGAGGCATTTTACCAGTTGGTGATTTCTTTATTAGCATATGCATCAGATGGAAACAGGGCCATTGGGTGGGCGAAGAAGACCACAAGCTAGACTATAGGATCAAAGTTGATAAAGGCAGTGTAAGTTTCGCAAATCACCTTTTCAAGAAGAAGCACTGAATTTGAGCTTACATCACAATTCTGGTCTCCCGGCCAGTTGTCCTTAGTGTTGGAATTCATACAAGAGATTAAGGAATCACAATTCTGGTCTCCCGGCCAGTTGTCCTTAGTGTTGGAATTCATACAAGGGATTAAGGAATATTTTTCTTGAGCCTTCAACTGCTTACGCTTCCTCTGACGCTGCCATTTAAACTGTCTTTTACGCTTTCCACACAAGGAAGTATGTGTAATTGAGTAAAATTGGCCTTCCCTAGATGGAAGCACGTCACCAGAAGCAGATTTTGTAGTTTCTGTCGATAACTTCTCCGCAGCACAATTTTTCCTGCAGCAACAGGGCATGGAAAATATAATCCCTACAATTGCAGCCAATCCAGCTAGCAGAGTTTACAGTAACGACGTCAGGACACAAACCTAATGCACATCTTTTTCCTCATTGATGAGTAAACTTCATCTACACTTCTCTTTTTCCTAGATTCTGGGAGTAGCAATAAACTTTCACAATAATTCAAACAATGTCGCACTCAGATCTACTACAATGAAGTATGTTGAGCATATATGAAGAGAAATTGGAACTTAATCAAATTCAAAGCCTCTCAAAAGAACAAGTTTCTGAAACTAGTTACCAGGATGAAGTAATGAAGGCTTATAGGTAGTGGCAGATACATGCAGGAGAGATTTTCGGCGTAAGTCACAGATGGGAACTCCAGCCACCTGACGGTGTTTGTTTCGAGGGAGTCGAAAAAATATTGAAGTGTTCTTTAGTAAATAAACCATGAGAACATCCCCAATCTGCAGGTTGTCAAAGTACATTAAAGTTTACTTGCCTACCGCAACACATGAAAATATAAGAGTACACCCGAGAAGCCAATATTTTACACACCCTTTTAAGGAGAAGGCTCCATGCTGGTGATGTCAAAAGTTCTACTATGTCACTGAAGCGGCTCATCTATCAGATACGAAAAAACAGCTTTAAAGTAATCATCAGGCAAAAGAAATTAGGAAATAATAGAAGAACAGTTGAAATCAGATTACAAATCACTGCCACCTTGAAGGGAAGAAAAGGCATAATAATCATTACAGACTATCTTTACAGAAATATTCTTTATGCAGCTTGTTTACTTACCTGGCTCCTCCCCTTTTTTAAATGAATTCAAACTAACTTAAACAGATCCTTTTTGACTAAACCTCAATTAAGAAAGCAGAGCTGCAATCTTGGGATTGGGAACTTAATTTGTATTGTAGAAATGAAAAATGCAGACAAAGATAATCAGCTTGAAAAAACACACTGCTGTCACCTTATCATAACCAGAACATATAACGTTGTTGGGTTGCTCGATTATTGTCATTTCTATTGTCCTCCTAACAAGCTGAAATAGCAAGCATGTAAAAGATTATCAATCTGAATTCAAACAAAAAGAATGATATCTTTAATATAGTTCAAGTTAAATTTATGGTACTATACAGTTGTTTCTATTGCAGTATATCTAGAATTCCTACCAGTCTACTAGAGTAGCAATATTGAAATACAAAAATTGAGAGATCTTAAATGCAAAGAAGGATATCACAATGATACTAACACTTTAAGCATCATACAATTATAGAGTTGTCATCAATATTATTTACAAACTACTAATCATCTTCAAACAAATGTCACATGGATGAAGAGTTCCAGGTCTTCATGTTAAGATGAGCTAATTTGTTTTATTTGATTGGTAAAAATATACGTTAAGATGAGCTAATTGAAGCATTAATCAAATAGATAGCATGTTCCAAAAACAATATGAATTACCAACATAGCATATTCTGCACCCTTGCACCATAAAGTAACTTATCCCATATTAATTCATGCATATCATGGGAACCATATTCGAAGATATAAGCATCAATATGAATCTAGGAATTAAGAAAGTTTTAGTGCATTTCAGTCTAGAGTATCCTTTTAAGGCTGTATATACACATTATGATATAATTGATGCCTACATACTGCACAAGTGCAGTCCCACGCAGGTGCTAATCATAGGTCAAATACAAAAAAAAATTGAAAGAAAAAGAAACATGCGTACACATCAAAGTATAGGATGCAACAAGTGTATGGCAGACATGGAAAAATTTTATTGCAGTAACTCCTGTTTTTCACATCCATATAGTTTGTTTTTCAAGGCAAGATTTCAAGGTTTGAGGCCTTCTATCGGATCCATCTCTTAGAAATTACACCTGTCTAAACTTGTTAAGAACCTAGCGAGTTGACATAGATCACACAATGTTAACTTTGTCAAGGACTTGGAAAAAAGCGCAACATTTGAGATGTCTCTAAAGCTTCCTCCTTAGATATCTATTATTTCAATTGGCTCTTGAACTTTGAACTATGGGCCACATGTTCTCCCCAGTTGAATGACCAATGCATCAGGCGGCAAGAAGAATTCTAATAGATACAAGCCAAGTGTATCATAATATTTTTAAACATCAGAAAACCTCTATACATGAATGATTTTTTTGTGGAAAGATTTTTATATGCATGAAAAAAACAAAAAGGGAAAAGACCAAACAATCAAACGCACCCATAAATATGCACCAACAGTCACAACTTTCAGCATAAAACTATTTGAAACTGTTGCAGAGTGCATTCATATTTAGCATGTCAAACTGATTTTTTTTCCAGGGGCTGTCATTCTACAGTCCATATTCTTCCATTTGCCAACATAAAAGTGGCAAACAGCTGCACCATCTGACATTGAAACTGGTTCAACTTCAAGAATCAATTAATGTTGTAATCAGATAAAAGATTCGTCTATAATGTAAACGAGAATCATCTTAGTAATATACTAACAAAAGGAACTTTTGCGCTTATTTGGGTAGAGGAAAAACATGAATGTAGTTAGTCCAAGCACAAGGATGAAATGATCCTAGGAAGGAACTGATCTTAAGGCTAGATATGCATATACATGAATGTTATCCCCATTAAACTGCTGAAACAATAACATTGGATCATCACGTAAATGCTGAGTACTAGCTATTTGTGAGACCGAACACATGAACCACCCTGCAAAAACCATACTATCAGGGTTCTGCTGATTTTGTCACTCTAAATGTAATATGCAACACAACTCTAGCATTCGAGCTCTGTTAATCAGTTAGCCTCTAGTAAGCAAACCAGCAGATCTAAGTTTAACTGTACATTTCAGCCATTTCTAATCACTTCACAGGGTTATACTCAGCCGAGAAGATCATCATATTTTGCTTTTCGTGTGTCAACCATGTTGCTTTTTACTTTATTTATATTTAAACATAATATTTTCACCTTATAGTATCTACTATTCCATATGTTTTCTAGAGAATCATTTCAAATAAACACTCAACTGACAGAGATCTTATCAAAATTTCAGCTCAGAAAACAAAGAATAATGAAGAACGAAGTAGCTAAAACATTGTTTCAGAACAATTATAACAGCAAGGAACAACCACATAATATTATACCTAAAAAAGAAAAAGAAAAACTAACAAAGAGGAACAGTTTCCCGCCAAAAAAATTGAATATCCAAATTTTCCCGACAAAGTCCGACTTCCTTCTATTCTTAATTTTGTTTCCAAATGCATACTTTTCACAACAACAATCACATTAAAACTGATATAAAAAGAACGGATACCTCAAGGTGGGACCAGCGGCAGTGAGGATCGTACACGTGGAGAGGAGGCGTGCTGTCGGAGAGGACAACGAAGCATTTGTTGAGAAGCTTCCGATAATCATCTGAATCCTTTTCCCTGATCAGAAATGACGTGGCGCCATTTTCGCCGACGCATCCGAGGCACTGGCGACCCTTGCAGAGGCAATTCGTCGACGTTTTTGAAGGAACTAGAGATAAAATTGTATGTCCTAGAGTACGTGCACGGTTATGGAACAACCTCCATAGAACCGGTGGAACTCTCGGTCTCTTCGTCGACATCGTCGGAAGGCGAGTGGGATCGAACGGAGACAGGTGTGTTAAGGAGGAAGAGAGGATTGTGCCTTGTGAGTGAAAATTAAAGCTGCAGTAAGTTTTTAAAATTTTTGGGAAGTCGTTTCTTTTACCCAATGGTTATTGGGGTAAAAGGGGGTAAAAGTCGACAGTATTGAAAAATCGACTTTTCTTTTGTTCCCTCCCGATAATTCTGTTTCCCGAAGTTAAACTGGATTCTGAATTCACATTTGCATGGTGTTAACTGTTAAGATTGTGGCTGTAATGTGATCCCTTTAAACTCCCTTGTTAATAGTTTGTTTGGCCGAGCTAAGGCTGGCATTCGGTCCGGGCCCGGGCTTCGTGGGCCGGGCTTAAACGGATCGAGTCTTTGTGGGTCGAGCTTAAACGAACCGGGGTTTTATGGGCTTTTGGGTGTAACCAGACCGGGATCGTGTAGTAATGGTCCCGGGCTATGTGGGTCGGGTCCGGGCCTAAATGGGCCTTGATTATTTTTTTTAAAAAATATTTATCTAAGANATATATATGTGGGCCTAAGTGGGCCCGGCCTTTTTAAAAAAAAATTATCTAAGGCAATTTCTTGTAATTTATATAGCTTATATATATTATATATACTATATCTATATCTATAATATATAAATATATATAATATTTAGATAATTTACAAGAAATTGCCTTATATAGTATATTGCCTTATATAAGATTGTATATACTAACTACAAAGTGTATAGTTATATAAGCTATATTCAAATTTCGATATAACATTAGCTATATTAAGACGTGTATATATATATATAGAGAGAGAGAGATAGAGAGAGAGAGAGAGAGAGATTGTGTGTTGTCTTGTCGGTCTGAAAAGCTGACCGACTGCGGAAAAGCTGTTTCGTTTCAGAAAAAGTGAATATGTATAGCGCGGTACAATACTACTTTTTGTGTGTTGTCTTGTCGGTCTGAAAAGCTGACCGACTGCGGAAAAGTTGTTTCGATTCAGAAAAAGTGAATATGCATAGCGCGGTACAATACTACTTTTGTGTGTTGTCCTGTCGGTCTGGAAAGTTGACCAACTGCGGAAAAGTTGTTTCATTTCAGAAAAAGTAAATATGTATAGCGCGGTACAATACTACGTTTTGTGTGTTGTCTTGTCTATAAATAGCGGGCACATTCTAGTTATGTTTTGCGCTTAACAATAACTAATAGCAAATATTTCCATAAAAGCAAGGTTTTTTTTTACACTTTAATAAATGTCTGAACCTCTTTATGTGTCAAGGTGCGAGTGAGGCAAAAAATGCATGATGCAAGACAGTTGGGATGATGGTGAAGCTGGACGCCACTACTGGGCGTGTATGAACAAGTTTTATAGGGTTCCCGACGAACCTGTTTGCAATTTTGAGGTATGGATTGATGAACCTTGTCAGCAGGAATACTACAAAGAAAAGTTGCAATATCTTCATTGTTTGTGTTTGAAGCAGTGGGAAAGAGAGCAACAATCCAAATGAGAAGTTGCGGAGTTGAAGGAGAAACTCAAAGAGGTGGAAGACGAAAAAAATAAGCTGAAAGACAAATTTAAGTTGTTGGAGTAGAGAATACTAGGCGGTCGTGACTAAACAATGACATGTACGTGTTGAGCGTAGTAGTGTATCTTTATGTTTCCCGTGTCATGTGTTTTCATTAGTTGTACTGAATTTAAGTTATGTTAAATTTCTACGTTTGCGTTTGTGTTTGTGTTGTACTGTTAAAATAAAGAAGAAACGAGCCTTGGCTATTTTTTTTTATCTAAGGTAATTTCTTGTAAATTATATAGTTTATATATATTCTATATACTATATCTATATCTACT